TTCATGATTTTTCTGATCTCAGTTCCATACTGTGGTTTTCTTCTTTTCTGTTTTCTTCTTTTATTTCTTCTTCTTTTATTTCTTCTTCTTTTACTTCTTCTTTTTCTCTTTTCTTCTTTTCTTCTTTTTCTGTGCCGGATGGCAGAGTTTTCCATCCTCCTGTCCATCAGGTACCTAAAAATGTAACCTCTTGACTTGGTCCTTGCCATGTTGAGTCAGGAATGTTAATGTTTAATTCCTGCAAATGCTGGACAACAACATTCATACTTCGGCCAACCGTGTCCTCATCTGGTCCCCTGATCAGAATATCATCCACATCTTGTAAAATTGTCACTTTGGGTGGGAGGATGATTGATCCTACCTCTTTAGCCAACATGGCGTGAGCAACGGGGCGGCTATTAATCACCTTGCGGTAGGCGATGAAAGGTGTACTGCATTCCATCCCAACTTTTGCTCTTGTATTGGGATCACAAAGAATAGATCTTTTATATCTAACACGTAGCTGGCACATTCATTTATTGCATTAATTGTATCTACCATGCTAAGAGCAGCAGCTGTTAGAGGGTCAGTGACTTTATTTAAAGCCCTATAGCCATGTGCCGCATCCCATCTGGTTTTTTAACAGGCCGTATGGGGCTGTTATATGATGAATACGGTTTTATTTTCCCCTATAATACCCAAATTATTACTCTAATTGTTTGATTAATTCTGTTAAAGTTTTTATGGCAGGAGCAGTTTATTGGTTTACTATTAGACAAGAAGGCTATGTGAAATATGGATTTACATCCACTACTGCGAATTATAAACCTCGCCCTAACTATGTATTGTGCCTTAAGACATGAGTTAACGATCATACAAGGTCACCACGATTAGCAGGACATGAAAGACTGACGCATCCAGAGCATGAAGACAAACCTCTCCCGTTTCTTCAGCGCCGCAAAATTTCACTAAGCTTGACAATAATTATTTCGCAGCCTTTTTTGAGGTTTCTCACTTAATACGAATGACAAAAAGCCACGTGCCGGTGGGGAAACCCTTCTTCTGTCCTGCCGCGGTAAAAATCGGCATGGAAAAGGAGTCGGCGAGCGCAGCCAACGATGCTCGTCCTCCCTTTGCATCCCCGTAGCCACGTGAGGCCAGCCGTTAAACCCGGTATCAGGGGAAACGGAACTTCAACCTGGTATCAGGGGAAACTGAGCTTAAAACCAGAGCTTCAAATAGCTGCACTGGAAACTGCTAAGCCGAGATTTTTTTTTTAAAAAAAAAAGCAGCGTATGTGACCCCATTGCTCTAAAACGTGCTTAAAAAAAACCCAACTCTTCTTTTTTTTTTTTTTTTTTTTTTTGAGAGGAAAAAGATTTTCTGGACTGTTAATAAAGAAAGTAATTTTTTTTTTGAGATACTATTTCATCTTTATCTCGGCTTTCTTTAAATTTCTGTTTAAAACGTACATAATATATTGGTGCAGATGTGCACGTGTGTAAATAAATACCTATACAGCGGGGGGCGGGGAGCCCAACAATATTTTAGGGATCGAAAAAGGTTGGAGACCACCCCCCGGGGGGGATGACGTCACGGCTCC